AGCTCTGCTGACTACATGAACATATTTGTATTAGAGCGATAAGCTGACAGTTTCTTTTTTCTCCCTGTTTTGGGACTGATTGTAAGGAACATTTGCATTGATAAGGGTGCTGGTAAAGACAGGAAGGGACTTAATACCAGTGGCAGAAGGAGATCTTTCTTTGCTTTGTGACTTCTGAATCTGCATCTGAATTTCAGCATTTCCCATCAGAGCTGGACTGGCTGACAAATGGAGCAGAATCGAGGGAGAACCACTGTTTTTAGAGTGTTTGGGTGGCTGCCCTTGGGTCAGAAGGAACCAGAAGGAGCCTCCTCGAGGTGGTTGTCTCTTCTCAGCCAACATGGAGCTATTCTTCTGGGACAGGACAAGTGCACCCATGGTACTTGCCAGCATGTTTACCAGTACCTTCATCCCACTGTGCCAATACCAAAATAAGGAGATTTTTCAGGCTTTTGCTGTCTGGTGTCCCAGCAGCTTGCCACATAGCAGAGTGACCATGTGCCAGTCCATAGATATCTTTGGAGACCTAATCCATACTCTCACCATCCAACAAGATTTAAGTTTCTGTTGATATATAAGTACTGGAGTTGAGTGACTCCAAAGAGTGGACATTAATTAACAAAGATGTTTTAGAGTTGGTTTAGATATTTGTTCTCAGTCTGGAGGATATGACCTTCAAAAAAATATTGTACTTTGAAAAGGAGGGTGATAAGAACCTTCTTAGAGTTACGACCTGAGCCAGAAAGTTATTATTCCTATGCAGGCTTTTGTAAATTCTGGGAAGGTTATTATGATCCTATGGCCAGTACATGGACGTACAACCGGCAGCTTCAGGGAGATTCATCTGGTCTTTGCTACCTTCTCTGCTGGATACAGAGCATATAGAGATGGTTCATGTTTTGCATCATCAGGACTAACTCCATCAAAAGACAAAAGCCACTGCAGGTTGAATTCGCAGTTACTCCTGTCCTTCCCATCATAAAGGTCTCTGAGAACAGTCAGTGCCTCAGGAAACCCAGATTCTGTGCCTAGCAAGGACTATATTTCTGAGAAAGCAATTCTGAACCACTTATGGCTTCAGTGCAGCTGGAAAAGTATTGTCTGGGCATAAGAATGCCCTAAATTTTCCCAGGATTTCCTAAGTACAATCTTGTGGAAACCTCTCTGCCCTATCTAGATCCCACTTCAGGTTTCTGCACCCAAGAAACCTTCAGAAATAGCATCTCAGACTTGAAGAATACGGGGCAAACCTTGGTGTCCCAGTGAAAACTCTTAATACAGATACTGTACAGCTTGTAGCTATTGGAGGTCTTGTCTTACAGCCATACAATTACTTGATGTATTTATTTATGAAGATGCACAGGGTACACAAAGTTTTTCTACATCCTTGATGTAAACCTCAACAGATATTGAAAGGGGCAAATATTGAAGGGGGTAGGGGGAAGGTTTAGCGTCTGTGTTTTTATTTTTTACTTCCTGATTGAGGTTAGTTTTAATCTTTTCAATGCATGCTCCAGTATTTTACTGAGCCTGTCTTCTAATGGGATTATTCAGAAACAAACTTAGATTTTCCAATTCCCATGCTACCTTCATTCCCTTGCTAATGTTCTTGAGTAGAGAAGCCTTAGCATTCACTACAAAGGAAACCATTCACATCCCCTCCTCCCCCAAGACTGAAAACAGGCCCATTAAGATACAAATGGTCCTTCCTTCATATTATAAAGAGCTACTTTCTGTAATTCCTTTTTAGCGGTCTGTAACACACAACCAGGGCAAAGCCATGCCATTGGAATGGACACCTTACTAACTTTAAGTAAGGATAAAATCTGCAACTGCTCTATTTAAAAATAATACAGTCTGGGTTTTGTAGGCATTAGTTCTACTACAGAGTACACACAGCAGGTTACTACGTGGTTATCCACAAAAGCATTCCTTTTGGGCTGGAACAAGATGTCGTGCTCTCTCAGAGATTCACAGACCCGCTCCTTGCTAACTGCTGCATCGCAAGCAGGGCTCCCCCTGCACTGAGGTCAGCAAGGTTAACTCGGCTCAAAGCATAAGCAGGAGCACCTTCTTACTCCTGACACCCTTTTTCTTATGCTTTCCTCCTCTGGTCAGCTGTGACACCTCGTTAGCTATCTGCAGACCTGTGCTTTAGAGATAATTAAGCTGCAGTGCTTCAGCCATCCAGTGAGGAAAAAAAAAATAAAAAAAATTCAAGAGCAAATTTCTTGCAGCCCTTGTTGGCACCCGTGCTGTGCAATCATGACTTTTTCGTAAGTGTCAAAAATGTGACTGCGGTAAAACAAAAAAAAAACACGTGGTCGCCAACATCTGGAATCAGCGTGCAGTGACCCAGGAAAGAAAGCTGAGCTGAGGCAGGGCTCCATCTGCCTGCCGGGCTAACTTGGCTCTGCTTCTTCAGCTCAGCATCTCCAGGCAGTCCGGATTGAATCCGCTGGCTGCTGCAGCCCTCTCGTGGCCACCCGGACCCAACCGTGCCACAGCAATCCGGCTTAAAAAGCACAACAAGCAGTTATTAAATAGCATGTTCACCCAAGGATAAATAAATAAGTAAATGGAGTCGACACTTAGGATAGTATTTGTGCTTAGTCTATAAGCCTAGTCGTTGTTAAATGACTTGGTTTTCCAGAATCAAAAGAAAAATTACAGGTAAAGCATGTTTTCAATGGGGTGCCCTGTTTCATCTCCCCAGGCTGTCACTAAACAGTCAGCTTTGAAGTGCTCCTTTCGTTTGAGCATTTGCACATTGATTTACAATGCTGTGGGTAAATTTCATGCTCATGGGTTTTGCTGAGCATCTGCTTACTGGAAATGTGTCTGTCTGCTCAGGAAAATCCAAGGACAGTGAAAACCTCTTGGGTTAGGGAAGATCTGGGGAAACCTGGACTATTCCAAATTTCTGCAAAGACCAACAGGTAGATGGTGCTTTGGCACTTGAAAAGCAAGCCTGGATTTTGGTATATTCTGATTTTCCTTTTAATCTACCAGGTGGTGACAGAGACATCTCTAACACATGGAAATAAACCATGCAGATTAATAGTGGAAGGAGAACATTGGTGGGAGCAGCTCTGAGAACCCGTCCAACAGCCCACCTGTAAACTCCCTGCCCAGTGTTGTCAGCGAGCACAAGCAATGAAGTTACCTCTAGAATAAAATATAAAATTAATCCAAACAAAAAGCTTATGCATAGGTATGGGGTACTCTGGAGGAGGTTGTCCAGTTTTGAATGATGTTTCTTAGACTGACAGCAATAGTACTTACAAACCAAGGTGCCACAGTCCATCCTGCCAGAGGGATGATGTTATTCTATCGGTTTCCCATCACATTTTTTTTTTTTCCTTACAGTAGTTTCAAAGGAAACATCTGCAAGAGAAATGGCTGAGAGGAGCCATGACGACTGTGTGAGCTGATAGTGCATTTTGAGACAGGGGCACCGATACCTCTGGTAGCAACTATACCTGTGCGGATAGATGGAGTTTGGGGGAGGGTGGGTGGGTTTAGCAGGATCAGCAGGACTCTGGGTGACTGCGACACTGAATAATTTGCAAGCCAGTGTGCCAACCCATGTGTTCGTGGTGCTGGAACAAGCCTTTTTATCAATACCAGCCATCAATAAGACGGTGATGCCTGCAGCACCTTGAGCTGGACATGAGCATGTGCTTTCCAGGTTAAGCACAGAAAAAAACACAGTTTATAGACTTGGGATCTGTGCCTGCAGGTATTGTCCATTTGAGCTGGTGCTTCCTGCCCTAAGAACTATTTGCAGTGAAGCTGGTGAGACTTAAGCCCTTTTGCCCCATGTGCACAGGCCAGGGTCTGCTTGGCACCGTGGCCTTAAATGCAGCAACAAATACCACTGGTCCTCCTTGCAGGGACTGCCTTTCCATTTGGCTGCCCTGGCAGCACCTTCTTAACCCTGTGAACAAGTCTGGACCCTGTTGGAATAGTTTTAACTTACCTATGTTAACACTTTGACCACAAACATTAAGTAGTGTAGGTGTTGTGCTGCAGCAGCACTGCTTTGAGTGAGACAAGCTCCCTCCCACGGCTGCAGCACAAGGACAAGCTGCAGCTCATACCCACCTCTTCCACACTCTTAGACTCATCTTTCTCCCTTACAAGTCCTTAATGCTTCCATAAAACTGTATTTTGCATTTCTGTTGCTTTTGACTAAATAGCCTCTTCACTCTTCATTTTCTGTAAGCCCACATATATAGAACAAGATGTGGCTTTTTTTTTGGTTTAAAATTGCTTTTATTTTAGATGGAGATAAACAGTAGTAAGAAAGTAATAAAATTATTATCTTCCTGAAAGAGCACAGGACAAGTACCATCCTGGCATCCAAAATATTCTCCAAAACAAAAAGGCTGAAAAATTTTTAAGACACGTCTGTATTGTGAGATGCTGATACGCTTGAGGCAGCAAATACCTATGCTGATAAAACCATGTGAAATAGCCTAGTGCAGAGCAACTGACAGCTCAGGTCTGGGTGCAATGAGACACACTACTTGGGAGCAAAGAAGCAGGGACACCTTGCAGTGGGTGTTTATGCAACCTCCTCCCAGCTGCAAAGCAGCACCTGGTCATATAGACATGTCTTTAGGTACGTAAACATGCTGGCTATTTAGAAAAGTGGAAATCTCAGTGTCAAAAGCACAGCCAGGATGCATACTGTTAAAAAACAAGTCCACGTAGACTTTTAGCGAGATGTTGCTCTTTACTTTCTGGAAAATGTTCTCCTAGGGCTGGGCTCAATAGCTGGGGTGAAATCTCAGCCCTGTTGACCTCAGCGGGACAAAGAGCTCACCCCCCTGCCTTGCAGCATCTGCTGATCCTGGCTGGGAACAGGAGGCTGGAGCTGAGTCCCACTTTCTCACCTCCTTGCCTGCAAGCTGCCTCCTTTCCATGCTACACCCTTCTGTGACTGCCTCGCCCCCATACCCACCCTAACTCATCTTCTGCAGTTGGTCTGGGCTCTAGGATTCAACCACAATCATACTCAGGTTGTTGCTGAAGATGATCCTCCCGTCCTTTTTGCTGCTGCACTCGGGCTGGCAGAGAGCCTCCTGCAGCCGCTGCCGCAGCCCTGGGGGAGCCGTGCCCAGGAAGTTTTTTGTCCCCGTCAGGAAATCCATCATGAGACCTCCAACTGGGTCCCCCTCGATAAAGCACTCAGTGATATCCCAGCCTGACGGGAACTCATAAACTTGGTACTCAACACCCAGTCTCTTCAAAACATCTGTGATGCCGTTGGAGGTGATGTAGTGGCCGCTGTCGGGGGAAGGCAAGCAGTCCCCATACTTCTTCCATAAGCTGGCCCATCCACTACTGTCTGCCAGAGGAGAAGGGAAGGTTACTTTTGCAAAACCAAGGCAGTCAAACACCATGTAACGCACCTACCAAATGAGTTAGAAATGCTCCCTCGCTGCTGGCCCAGACCTTGCCAGGAGCAGCAGAAGAGCTTTCCCCTTACTTGAAGCCAATTAAAAATGTCTGTGCCTGGAGAGGGATAAAACTGTGATCTCTCTCAGCACTCCTTCCAAAAATCTCCGATTTGAAGGAAATTCTTTTTCCTGTCCTGCCATAAACTGCACAGCTCTTGGCAGTGCTTGTTGTCCTGCTGAGGTCTGAGCCATTGCTGTGCGGAGGGAAGAACACCAAGACAGGTCCTCCCAGAGCTCAGGTTGTGTTTTTACAGTGCTGATTGCACCATGAAGAAGGATTGACCCTCATTCATGAATAGCCACGCTTCTCTCTAGCCAGTAATTTCACAGCAGGAGGTCTCTTTGAGGTACAGAGCAATTCATCCACTTCATAAGCAAGGAAGCGAGAGCAGTAGCCCCGTCAGACATTGGGATCTAAGAGGCTAAGCCCAAGATTGCATGCTCCCTGTGAAATACAGCATTTGTTTCATTTAGTTACTATAGAATAAGTGCTACTGAAATCCCGAGACAAATATTTGTGGCTCTCAAACTTTAAAGCTCTTCAAAGCACCAGCAATGAAGCAAAAAATAAAAGGTCACTCTTACCCGATAGAATTATAATCAGGAGTTTACCATGATGGTCAAGGCAGCTATGGAAAAACTTGATAGTATTGGGAATATCCTCCACACGGTACAGCATCTAGAAGTGTCAGAGTTACACACAGACATTATTCCTCCTCCACAGTGCAATGTCCCTTCGAATGCTTGAACCTTTTCTCAACAGAGTTGCTTAAAATTTTTTCCCAGGTGCTTTCCACTAAAGTGAGATAATGGTAGGAGTTTTTTTTACAAAATATAATTGTTACACACAACATAAATATCATCAGTATGAGACACAGCAGCATAATTTCTGGCCCCAAACCTGACACAAGTGTTCATTCACAAATCTTTCCCTCCAGCACCATCCACACTACTCTGATAAGGGTTTTTTCAGCAGCAAAGTACAGTTGTTGATCTCCACATGACACATGACAACGTGAGACTCATCTTGTTTCACCATTCCCCATACACTGTTTAACCAGTACAAGCCAGAGACCAAAACCAGAGGGGACAGGGAATGAGATTTAGTGTTTGTAGAGATGCTGCAGAAGCTATTGCTCGTAGGAGGACTGTGCTCAGCTCTGGTCCCCCTAACTTCATGCATAGAGCAGAAGTTGATTAAAGCTAATACTCCTGTATTAAATGAATACTCCATTACCTGGATCATATGGATGAAGTCAAATTTCTTATATGTGCCTTTCTCTTTCATCTGTTGTTCATACTCCGAAGAAGTGAGCTGGTGCCAAATAAAAGAAACATTCTGCAGATCTGAAGCTTGATTCACCAACTCTGATTTAAAAATCAGAAGGAAAACATGAATTTGACTAAACAGTGGGAAAACTCATCATTCAAATCAATAGTCCTTGCGTATACCCCAGGCTGGCAAGTGTAAACTTACCTTTGTAAGCTGCCACATGCTGTGGGTTGGGCTCTACGATTTCATTGTCGATAAAGACCCCTGGATGTGCAGCTTGCAGTATCCTGATCATTTTCAGATCCTGCTCACCTATTCAGTAAATACAAATGCATTATTTTAAAAAGTACATAAATGTGGTGAAAGGCTGATTGTGCGCCTTCTACCTCTGGTGCTGGGAATTTGAGGCACTCTCTACCTTGAGGTTTGCATGGCAGCATTTAACCCAGTCTTGCCATGGTATCTTACTGCTTGAGGTAACATATGTTTGCAGATAAGATTAAGAACAAGGAAGACATAAGCAGTAGTGCAGAAATCTGCTAAGGGCAATAATCTGGATCACAGGAAAGGTCAAAATAATTAAAGATTAATTGGTTTTTTTTAAATAGGAAGCATCAGTTTTCAACAAAACCACAAATTTTGACTAAGGGCAAGGAGAGAATCAGCACAGCTGTGCAACCTCTGCATTCCACAGAGTGGTCCACCCCAGGGAAATGGCAGCTGCTCCACTGCTGGTGTGACACAGCTCGGAGACCTGGGGATCTGCAAGGCAAGAGGAAAGACCCATTGATGTGCAGTACTCTGGGTCTTCCTTCTTTGGGGACCAGCCACACGGCCTCAGTCCTGGGAATCTACTATTTAGCTGTTGGAGCTGTAATTAGAGAATCATGTATTTGTGTGGAAGTACCCTGCAAATTTAGCTACTGGTGTTCCTCTGCTGCTGTCTAAGTTCTGGAGGAGAAAATGGCAGTCTGTCCCGGGAAGTTCCCAGCCTCTTTCGAGGTCACTCTGGTTTCTTTCAGAAAGGTCAAGATACACCAAGTGTACAAAATCCATCTGGTTCATCTGGGATTATGGAAATAAACAGGAGAGGTGACCACATTAAATGGACCTTCACAAGAATCTCGTCTGTAGCTGATGGTTGGGCCTAAAAATAGTCCTTTCCTTGCAAATGTCACACACGGTGGTCTTGATACAAGATACTGCACCTTCCCCAGCCTTTCAGCTGATGTACCAGCTAGGGGAAAAAACATCATCTTTTGGCAGGTGTTGCATTAAACAGAATTCAGGGAGGGAAAGATTAGCCATGCCAGCTTAATAGGGACATCCAATGGAGAAGGAGTCTTTTGAAGCTAGAGAAAAAACACCCAAGACCCCAGAGGAATGCAGTGGCATCAGTGCAGGGCTGGCCAAAGGCACAAGGAAAGAGGCTGGAGCTGCATCTGTCAAAGGTGGGTGGGTGGACCAATATTGCTGGCAGGAAGGAAGATCCCTGTAGCAAGCAGCTGAATTGCTCTAGTCAGTCCTAAATGCCAGTTAGTATGTGCCTGGGGTGGGGAGCACCAGGACTTAGAGGTGCTGGCCTGGGCTCCCCGCAGGCTCAGAACAGGCAGGAGGCAGAGCATCTTTATCCCATGCCCTGGTTATATCAACAGCAAATGTCTATTTTAAAGGCTATTTGGGTTTGGTGGTTTGGGGTTTTTTCTCCTTTTTTTTTACTCCATCTCTGTAAAATGCCCTAATCCAGTATATACAAACATGGATAATGATGTCCTCAACTGTGGTGTCTGCAAAAACACCCATTAAAATATGATGCTTCAGGGCAGGAATTTCTCTGCTCCAGCTTGAGCTGCCAGTGACAACCTTCCAGCAGTAACCACAGCAAGGGACTGCAGAAACGGGAGTGAAAGCCCTCTGCAAACAGCAGCTCACCCTGGCACTAGCTGGGAAGCTATAGCCAAGATAGTTAAACCAGCCAGGGAAAAACATGGCAAGAATAAGAAAATGCGATCTGGATCTGACAGTGGTCTTTTAGGATGTGGAGTCGGTCACTAATCCCCATTAATATTTTCGTCAACTAAACTACTACTGGGGGCACTGTGAAATCAGAGAGTCCAAGGCTGGAAAGGTCAGGGATCAGATATAACCTTTTGCTTGATGCCATCCTCGCTCACTCCCCAGCCCGGCTGCAGAAGTTCAGCTCTCGCAGCCTTGGGCTAGCTGAGGGGGTGCGAGTCTGGAGCCCTGTCTCCTCACCCATGAGGGGCAGCTACCCAGGAAACCCAGGAAGTTTTAAAGTTTTTACTTCTCCATTAAAACATCTGCTCAAGGAGAAATAAGGTAAAATGAGGACAGTACAAATAGTTTATTCTTCCCCTGTGTTTTCTTGGAGTCAGAATCTCGGGTTTATGTTACTTAATGAAAATAAGAGTGTAATTGAGAACTGAATGATTTCTTCCTGCTTGCTTTCTCATACGCTCCAACGTATTCCCAAGTGGGAAAAACAATTCAATGCTATTTTTCTCTTACTTAGGAAAACAAGTAAGAAAAATACTTTCATTCGAAAGTAGTAACACTTAAAATTCAGCTGAAAATACTTTTTAAAGCAAAAGCAAACTCTGACAAATCAAACTGCCACTTCTTTTATCTACTTTTTATTTCCCCCCAGTTTCCCTAGGAGCAAAGTTGGATATTTCACCACTTTTTTTTTTTTTTTTTACATAAATGCATTTAGAATGGCTTTAACGCTACTTTTCCAGAAGATGGGTTTCTCTCTGGGGGGAAATACCCTTTGCAGTAAAACCCTACTTATCACTGGAGAAAAATACAATGGTAACAAAGAACATGTCTTGAAAAAGCTGATGCAGCCCCCTGTTAATTGTTGTGGCCAACTGGTTTTGCACCACCTGGAGCAGAGTATTGCCCAGCTTTGGCCTCTGGAATCTCTAAAATAAAAGCAAAAAGAAAGATTTCTTTCCGTTGGGATAGTCTAAGACAGGACTTTGGCTGCAACCAACCTCTTGGATGTCTCTAATTCTCCCCAACAAGTTTGGAGATGCTCTCGTACCTGACCCAGGTCAGGACTCCTTGCTTTGAGACATTTAAAGTCAGGTAAGAGTGAGCAAGAGGCAGAAGCTAAGCTAAAATCATCACACTCATCCCACTTTTCAGAAAGATTTGAGCGGCAGCATTTCAGAAGGGAGATGGGGAAGGAAGAGAGGGAGCATCATCCTGGCTCCACACGCTGTTTTGCTATTCTCTGCTTCAGTGAGAAACACTGTTACTAACTCAAAATTAACTGAAAAGTTTTTGCTTTCTGCTACCCGTAAGGACCCACTGTCCCCCAGCACCAGCAGTGCTACAAAGCTCCTTACCTGTGCCACTTCCAACTCCCAGGACGTTGATAGTTGATTTTCCATTGCCAAGACTGAAATTATAAGTAGACATTGCTTAACCACACTATGCCACACAACTTCATGTTTTAATTCTAATATCTTGGATGCCACATTGTCCCATAAATTTCCGTGTTTTGCCATGTGGATTGGGATAGATATCTGAGCATCCTTTTGGAGCCCAGTTATAACCAGCTGCATGGTGCGAGCCAGCCCCGTATTAGCAAGCTCACATTTCAAAGTACAGTAAGCATCAGGATATAGTGTTTCTCATCCTTTGCCAAAGAGTTTTCTTCAAGCTGTGGCTGGTATGATGCAAAAAAGCCTCAGGGAACCCTGGAGTGAGGGGTTCCCTGTGGGGGTAGTAGGGCTGTGCCTGGCTGAGATGGGCACCGCTGAGGATGCGGGGACAACATGAACCAGGACAAAACCTCTGCACCCTCAGAAGCAAAGTGTGGTTTT